CTAAAACCTTTGTGTGTTATTAATACCTGTGCATCAATGCAGCATTTCTTAAGTCAATAAATATATTTTTAATATTTTAATCAGTAAGTTTAAACATTGTTTTTTAAAGATACTAGTTTAATAGAAGCTAACTTTTCTTCCCTGCTGTAGCCTTCATTGAGTAAAACATTAGTCATTACATAGACAAGAACTTGGTGAAATGATCAGCTTGCTTTCAAATATAATCAGCCTCCTTGGGTCAGCACCTGTGGCTCAAAGGAATAGGGCGCCGGCCCTATATGCCAGAGGTGGCAGGTTCAAACCCAGACTCAGCCAAAAACTGCAAAAAAAAAAAAAATAATAATAATAATGATAATCAGCCTCCAGGTAGACCACCTCCCACATGACCACCTCCTGATTATCACAGACCTACATGCACACATGTACCTATCAGTACAGCAGGTCTAGCTCCTTATGCTGACTACTTCTGTACGTTGACCAGTTTGTTACCATCCCTGGGTGTCAATCTATAGATGTTTTACTGTATACTACATAGTTACTTGAATTGTTTCTTTATTTTCTTGGCTTCCTGTTAGCCTTTAATTTTGATTTTGTCCTACTTTCTTTTTAGACTTCTAATCTCCATCATAGTACTACCAAATAATTCTGTAGCATTTCATAGTTTTCAAAGAATTTATAGACAATACATTTTTTGCCCTCACACAAACCCTGTCACATAGTGGAGAAGGTAACATTATGCTTATTTGATAGATCAGATAACCAGGATTGTAAGGGAGGAGAATTACATTGTTCGGGGTCCGTGGCAGTGGGGACTGTGGCCAGGGCTTTGTCGTTTAGGCCCCAGCGCACTCTGCTTTCTAATATACCCACAATTTCCTTTGTCTCTTCAAGGTGTGTCTTCCCCCCCTGCCCCAGGTGAACTGTCTCAGGGACCTGGTACATGTTGCCTGTTGTCCTACTGTCCTAGATGAAGGTTAGATGCAGGAAAATCTCATTTTAACACGCATAACTCTTCATGGCATCCCCCAGATTCTTTACTCTGGATTATATTCCCAGGCGTTTTCTCATCCTCACATTAGATGTTCAAATTCTTTTTTTTTTTGAGGCAGAGTCTCAACTGTCGCCCTGGGTAGAGTGCCATGGTGACATCATAGCTCACAGCAACCTCTAACTCTTGGGCTCAAGCCGCCCTCTTGACTCAGTTTTTTGTCTTTTTAGTAGAGACGGGTCTCGCTCTGGCTCAGGCTGGTCTCAAACCTACCAACATGGTATGAGCTCAAGCAATCCACCCACCTTGGCTCCCAGCATGCTGGGATTACAGGCGTGAGCGACTGCACCAGGCCTCATGTTCAAAATCTTAAATAAACTAAAACCATCCACTAGGGGAAACATGTGTAGAGTCTCCTGTGTTCACACATATGGTCTGTACACACTCTCACTTAGAGCAGTCAGGCTATTCCACAGGATTCTAGTTAAGTGGAGGCCAGGGCACTCTGCTAATGCGGAATGGAATGTGAGATCCATTGTAGCAAAGCTTCAAAAGAATCTGCAGTACTAAATTGGTGGTGGGGGATGGGAATGCCTTGAGGGAGGCACGAAGACTCAAAGTACCTTATTTGATGCTAGTAAAGCTAGTCCAGATGCCAGTTTTGATAGCCGATTGAATCAGGGTTTTCATTGTTACCTGCAATTCTACTGCACTTCCAATGTATCCGACAATTTCACATGATTTACTATGCATTCCTTTAATTGGATTATAAGCACTAGGAGGGAAAGTATAGTACAAATAGTTGCAGGCCAGGTGCGGTGGCTAATCCCAGCACTCTGGGAGGCCAAGGCAGGTAGATCACTTGAGCTCATGAGTTGGAGACCAGCTGAGCAGGAGTGAGATGCTGTCCTACTAAAAATGGAAAAACAAGCAGGGCATTGTGGTGGGCACCTGTAGTCCCAGTTACTCAGGAGGCTGCAGCAGGAGGATTGCGTGAACCCAAGACTTTGAGGTTGTGGTGAGCTATCGTGACGCCACAGCACTTTACTTAGGGTCACAAAGTGAGACTCTGTCTAAAAATTTAAAAGGTTGTTATCATTCCTAGATTCCAGACACTGTTGTAAGTGGCTTTGCAAATATTTAATTATGTAGACTTGGCTGCTGTGAGGACCAGATCAGCTCCATTTTGTTGTTTCCACATAAGTTCTGTTCCTGGGCCCTGGCCTGCAGGGCCCACCCTATAACCCTCCCCATTCCATTAAACCACACCCGCAGGACCCACCCTGCAACCTTTCTCATTCCTCTCATAGTTACTCAACCAAATAGTACCCCCTGGGCAACAGATAAGTTTCTATTACCTTGAAATACAGGTAACCAGGTTGCACCAACTCTAGCCCCCAGTTAAGGGACCCTCCACCCCTTACCTGTACCAATCCAAATTCACCTTTACTAATGAAATCACCAACCACCAATGAAAAGTGTACTC